TTTTTGTTCACTGAATTACGAATTACGCAATTCGGTTCTGTAGAGAAGAAAACATTTTTTTCTCTGCCAATACATCAAATGAGGCGTTAACTCTATCCATTATACGGCAAACAAAAATAATGCTGCAAACAGAACAAAGTATATGGGTTAATTTGAACATAGATAAAAAAAAAAAAAGGTTTGTTTGACCAATTTTGCGCAAGTAGAGATATGAAAGAACACATATTAATACAATGCTTTTAAGATAAAATTATTATTCTAAAAAGAAGTTCGCTTTTAGTCTATAGATGCTATTTAAAGCAACTAATAATGGAATTCTATTGAAACAAGAGCCCTTCTGCTTGTCGATCAATTTAGAATATCATAAGACCAACTCGGTCCTAACTTGGACCTTCACCAAGGATTACGAGACATGGGCTTTATTATAATAATATTAGAGCTGAAATCTTGTACATTTTAATTTAATTTATATTTTTAATTACACTATTATTATTTTGCTCCAAATCATAAAGTTGGTTGTCTGGAAACTACGAAATAAGATTTTTATTGTGTTTGAAATGCATTCTCAGTATCAGTATTACTATGTTTTTAAAATATTTTGTTCATTAAATATAAATTAGATTGAGCAGCATGCATAAATGCCAAGTATCGTTCGATTCTACACACGTATATGTTATATTTTCTCTTCTACTGATCACTTCAACAAAGATTTTTTTTTTTTTACATCACATAATGATTTTCTGGACACCCCCCTCCCCCTGAAACCTGGAATAATTTTGAAGGTTTTGGTTACGTCGGGATCCATGGATCATGAATTATTTCACTCACACACACACACCTTTCCGTATAAAGATAAATATCTTTAATTCTGTTTCTAACACCAGATGAAATTGGATCAGTTTAGTTAAAATGTTCTACTGTTTCTGGACGACGCATAACCATGATAGTTGCAATGAAACTATAGCAAATGCCAATGTGTATCCTGGGTTCCTAACAAAAACTAACACTTTACAGAAATTCTTACGACTGAAGAATTATCATTTCAACCTCTTCAACAAATAAACAAAATATATACTAAAAGTGAGTGTCATAAAACGCACGGATGAGATTTATTTCTGCGAATTTGTCACCTCACATAAATATAATCACCCAAGTAAAATAAAAATAGCAACAAACTAATATATAGGATACCACAAATGGCATTTTCATCTCTTAAGTAAGAATTTTCCCAGGATTAAATTATCAAATAGTGTTAACTAAATACATTTCATACCGGCTACGGTAATTTATATATGCGCAACAATTCTTCATTGATTTAGATCTTCGAAAGACGTTGACGCCAGTTTAATTTTTTTTTTCTTTTATATTAATCTAATATTACTCGAAAAGAAAAGAAAACGGTTTCATATTTCATCACCATATTGAGAAAACTGAAACTTGTTAACGTTCGCTTAGTGTAAATGTGTTTTATTACAAAATGATAATGATGGAAATACTGAAAAGTACTACTGTTAATTAGAGAGAAGAGAAAGAGAGGGATAGAAAGAGATAAATTAACGAACCGTATTCATTTCAACCACATTTATTTTCTTACTTGTGAAAATACAGTATGAATCCTTGAAGTTGATTCCGAATTTAGATTCTTAGCAACCTCTCCACAAGGTATGAAAACGATTTCATTTCCAACGCTTTCCAGGAAGTATATGAATTTGTACCCAGGCACGGATCCAGAAATTTTTTCCAAGGGGGTCCACCCCAATCAAAAAAAAAAAAATCAAATCCCAGAAATTTCTTAACAAACCAAAAAAAAGAAAACCTAACCTCGCCCAAACGTCACAAACCTATTTCGTTGAGGGGGGTGAAAGTGAAATCTTTCACTTTTCGTTTCACATCTATTCGCGTTTACCGGGGGGGGGGGGGGTGTCAGCGTTTTCCAAGAGTGGGGGGGGGTCCGATGGTAACTTTTTTCTTGCTTTAGTATATACATTTTTTAACCTTGTAAATTCTAGGGGGTCCTGACCCCCACCCGACCCCCCCCCCCCTCTAGATCCGCGCATTACAAATATATAGGCATTTAAAAGTTCAAAAAAGTGAGATCTTCATAATTAAAACTAAGGTACAAGTGCACATGTAGGATCATTCTTAAAAATAAAATTCTGTACTGATTATCAAATTAGAAGTGGAAACATAATTGTTTTTTTTACCCGGGATTGCCAATTTCGAACCAAATATTGTCAAAGTTTCCAGGTGTTATTATAGCACCTGCTCAAAAATACCTTAATTTTAAACTTACTTTTACAAGAGGATATATTCTTTATCTAAAACAATGATTAAGTTTTCGATGTGGAAGCGTAAAACACTAATTATATGCAAGACCCTCCTTTCCAGACTCTGGACAAATTCTAGATTACTGTTCTAAGGCCCAAGATCGACAGATATCTCGAGAGGATCTCGACAGATACTTAATAGTATTTCTAAATAAAGTTGACCTTCGGTGTCTCGAAAATTGAAATCTCGAATACCATGGATATGTCGAAAAAATTTGGTGCTTGGAAGTTTGGAAAGTGTTTTACCTCCGATATCTCAAATTCTCGGAAGTTCTCGAGGTTTTTTCTTATACCCATTGAGTCAGAGATAACGAGGTTTGACTGTCCTTTCTATAGATACGTTGATGCAAACAAACACACATACAATGCATCAATGATGAGCACATCACATTCCTTATTCCACTCCATGAGTTGGGTAAAAAAAAAGGGGTTGTCAATGCAAACGTTTCTAAAGGTTTAAATTGCTCGTACTGGATAAAACAATTTCTTTATTAAAACATTGATCAGTCCCTGTGTGATTATCATTTCAATTCCTCGTCTTCTTGCAATGTTACCACAATGACAGACAGAAGCATCAACACCTGTCAACAACCCAATCAGTAGAACCAGGAAAGGCAAATCCAAGGCTACCTTAATAATGAGACCGCAGACAATATTATTTTCCGGAAGGAGACAGACGACATTGTAATCAGAGACTAAGACAACATAACCCACTTTCCAGGGTTTTTTTTATATATATTTATAAAACCCCCACAAAAAGCCATTATAAAAAGGAATCAGATGCGTCTTTAATAGAACTCTGAAACTATTGAAAGGGAAGCAAGGTTGTTCAATGGAAAGATTACATTTTAAAATCAGATCCAAAAGCTTCCCGAAAGTGAAAATGAATTTACCTATTGCTAAGAAAAATATTGAAAAGGCACAAACGAATAACTACAATATAAATCTAAACAAACTAGGAATAGTGAGTGATTCATTCACTTCTAATTATCTTCAAAAATCTATAAACTTGAGTAATTCTATTAGCTACTTTTGCTAATTTTAAAACATTTATTTTACCGATTTTAGTCACAATATTCGCCAATCAAATACCATCATTAGTAGTGTATTCCATTCGAATCAAAGAAAATCAAAAATGGCATCATGCTATTTGGCGATTACAGAAGTATTTATTGAGAAGCAGGAAGAAAAATCCTTTATGACAGAAAACTCCCATGTTGAATTAAATATACGTCTGGATTCTTTTCCTGCAGAAGTGAAGCAAACGGAACAAAATCGCAGACGACAACCAGAAGTGTAGCGCGGGAAATCTGTCCATTTAACACTTGATGACATTCGATGCAACTGGTTGATAGTAGTGGATTATTAGAAACTAACTGAAATCAGTCGGAGAAATAGGAAAGTTCTTCCCCCAAACATGGTTAACCAGACACTAAAATAGCTGCAAAGACAGATTTCACACACGATCAAAGACTTGTGGGATCGGTGGCTTTTGATTTTCTGTAATTCCTGGGGTGCTTTTCGTAATTACAAAATCTAAATTTGTATTTTTTATTTCACGAAACTGACAAAAAAAAAATCATGACCCCCCACCCCCCATTTGTAAAGCCCTAGTTTTTTTGCTTCATAGCCCCATTGCTTGTGACCCAGTTAATAGAAATCTGAAATCCTATCCTAAATTTCAAAACTTCTTTGTTGAAAGCTCTTTGGTAAACATTAATTTCATAATACAATGGCGTGTTTTTTACATGTAACCATTGGAATGGTTGTCAAATATTCATTTATTATATGATATATTGCTATGATTCATCCTGAACAAAAGCAGCTACCTAGAATGATGCGGGAAAATTAATTATTTGTTAAAATCTTCAAACAAGGAAGTAGTTATAATGAAAGCGCATTGTTTTCTTTGATGGACGTTAGATTAGGGGTTTAATCACTCCGCGGAAACCCGGTTGATGTAGCATTACGCTTACACGAGTCTTGGATAGATGAATATTTCATCGGGTAGTAGTACTTGAAATGGAAAACAACTTTTCCACAAAAGGAAAATAATATTTACATTCAAATATTTGAGGTGATGTTTTTATCAGAGTTAATTATTTGAAGCACTATAAATTGTATAATGTGAATGTAGCTAGATTGAAAATATCGCAGAATATGTTTTGGTTTTGAATTTCGCAACAAATCTTGAACATTCGAAGCTCTATAAATTGACGTGTGTTGTTCGACTAATGATTGCATAGAATAATTATTATTTCCTATAAATGTTTGAAGTTATTCTTTCGAAGAAAAATTACAAGGTTAAATTTTTGAAAGCCGTTTTAATTGATAGTCTGTACTCCGTACTTAGCCTCCAGGGGCAAAGAAGTTGTTGAGAACCCTGACCAATGAACAGACGTTCAACATATATGTACCTATCTGTATGTATGATCTGTACCCATCTATATAAAATGATCTGGTCTTTTACTCATCAGCTGTTGGAAAACTCGCATAAAAATCGTCTTATGTAATTCATATGCGCGGGTCATTTGATTGGTTGCTGCAGAGAATCGCGATGGCAAATCAACGAATCAGAGTTTATATTATGTATGAAAGGAAGCTCTGTATTTGCTTATACTAACAAATCCCCAAAATGCAGTTGTATCTTGATGCGACAATGTTATATACAAGGTGATCAGAGAAAGAAAGCAAATTCCAATAGGCTTCCTCAAGATGTTGAAGAATTTATGAGAACCTGCACTTCATCCATCTTCTCTGTGATATATGCACTGCCTTTGGAAGATGTGGATCTATCCATCATTGGACCAAGAATGAAAACACCATTATCAACCTCTAGGAAGATGAAAGAGGAAGACCCTCCTATAACAAACCGAGTACCATTTGTGACTCAAAGTTTGGGCCGCAACGCTCACCTGAGTCATCTGAGTGTCCCTGTCCTCGTCATCGGCACATTTCCCCATATATTCCAAAGTAAAACGTTGATCTCCCATTGTGGCCGCAACATTGGGGAGTCATGATTTTAACAAACATGAATTTACACTACCTACGTATCTGTCAATATGACTAACCATGTTCTTGAGGAAGAATATTTTTAATACTTCTTTCTATATATTTTTATATAAGATTTGATCACCCATTGTTGCTCCAAAATCCCCGGAGGTACATGATTTGAACAAACTTGAATGTACACTATGTCATGAAGCTTTCACATAGGTTTCCTCTTTTCTGACCCAGTAGTTCTTGATAAGAAGATTAAATAACACAAACAATTTTCACTATTTCCTAATTATGTCCCTTTGGAAGAGGTTAGGGGAATTTAAATTGTTAAAATGAAGGGACATATCCCCTCGCAAGGGGAGATAATCAAGAAAAGACAAAAATAGGGTTGGGTCACTAAAAAATCTTCTTCTCAAGAACCACTGGGCCAGTAAAGCTGAAACTTATGTGGGAAGCATCCTGGGGTAGTGTAGAATCTAAATTGTTCAAATCATGACCCCCCGGGGGAAGGGCGGGGCCACAATGGGGAATCAAAGTTTTATATAGAAATATATAGGGAAAATCTTTGAAAATCTTCTTCTCAAGAACCACTGGGCCAGAAAAGCTGAAACTTATGTGGAAGCATCCTGGTATAGTGTAGATTCTAAATTGTTCAAATCATGACCCCCGGGGGAAGGGCGGGGCCACAATGGGGTATCAAAGTTTTACATAGAAATATATAGGAAAAATCTTTTAAAATCTTCTCAAGAACCACTGGGCCAGAAAAGCTGAAACTTATGTGGAAGCATCCTAGTATAATGTAAATTCTGAATTGTTCAAATAATGACCCCCCGGGGGAAGGGCGGGGCCACAATGGGGAATCAAAATTTTTATATAGAAATATATAGGAAAAATCTTTGAAAATCTTCTTCTCAAGAACCACTGGCCCAGAAAAGCTGAAACTTATGTGGAAGCATCCTGGTATAATGTAGATTCTAAATTGTTCAAATCATGACCCCCGGGGGAAGGGCGGGGCCACAATGGGGAATCAAAGTTTTATATAGAAAAATATAGGAAAAATCTTTGAAAATCTTCTTCTCAAGAACCACTGGGCCAGAAAAAGTGAAGCTTATGTGGAAGCATACTGGAATAATGTAGATTCTGAATTGTAGAAATCATGACCCTCGGGGGAAGGGCGGGGCCACAATGGGGAATCAAAATTTTACATAGAAATATACAGGAAAAATCTTTGAAAATCTTCTTCTCAAGAACCACTGGGCCAGAAAAGCTGAAACTTATGTGGAAGCATCCTGGTATAGTGTAGATTCTGAATTGTTCAAATAATGACCCCCAGGGGAAGGACGGGGTCACAATGGGGAATCAAAGTTTTACATAGAAATATACAGGAAAAATCTTTGAAAATCTTCTTCTCAAGAACCACTGGGCCAGAAAAGCTGAAACTTATGTGGAAGCATCCTGGTATAATGTAGATTCTAAATTGTTCAAATAATGACCCCCGGGGGAAGGGCGGGGCCACAATGGGGAATCAAATTTTTATATAGAAAAATATAGGAAAAATCTTTGAAAATCTTCTTCTCAAGAACCAATGGGCCAGAAAAAGTGAAGCTTATGTGGAAGCATTCTGGGGAAGTGTAAATTCAAAATTGTAGAAATCATGACCCCCGGGGGAAGGGCGGGGCCATTATAGGGAATCAAAGTTTTACATAGAAATATATAGGAAAAATCTTTAAAAATATTCTTCTCAGGAACCACTGGGCCAAAAAAGCTGAAACATATGTGCCCATTCATGGAAGGATCATGGGTAGTGTAGATTTCAAAATGTCTAAATTATGATCAGTGGGGTAGGTTGGGGATGCATTATGTATAACAAGGGGGAAATCTGGTAAAGAACAGAATGGTCAAAGCTTCTCAGGTGAGCGATGTGGCCCATGGGCCTCTTGTTGAGTATACGAGTATGTGAAAAATTCACGACAACGACAACAAAGTCGACGCCAAAGACAGACAACATACAGCTTTTAATCAGAAAAAGTCAAATAAAGCTTTAGACCGTGTTTTGACTTTCCCTAAAGGAGGAGTTTCAGTATTGTCAAACATTTCCGGAGCACAAGACCACAACTAGTCAAAGTCATGTTTAATTGTTTATGCAAAATTGAGTAACCATTTAAGATTTCTCAAGGCGGTCAGAATTAGAAGGTACGTTGGGTGCGAGTGCATTTCTCTGATAAAAAAAAAACAACAGAAATCTAATTTTCAAAACCAAATAAATTCATTTTTATCTCTTTAAAGGCAATGCTGCAAAACTTTATTTATTCAAACCTAGAATGCACCAAACCCACTCAATTGGCACCCATTAATGTAGAATAAAAAAATAATGGCCACATTGGGAAAAGCCATGCGTCCCCTTTCCTTTTTGAACCCTGGGACGACCATGTTGTCAACTATTG